CTATTTTCATTGGAATGGCTTTCATTCTGTTAATGACATTGGCTTTTATCAACATTTTTAAAGAGAATGATTCTTCAAATTTATGAAAAAATAAGATATTTCCGTTCTATGATTTTACTTTTATGAGAGTATGTTTGTAATACATTTTATGATCTTCTTTATGTTATACTTTTACTTTTTAAAGAGAAAAAAATCAGTAAAAATTGTCATAGTAGCTTAGTATCATTTTAATCATGTCTCTGTCCCCCTAGATCAATTGCCTGCATTCAAAATGTCACTATTTTTGTTTTCCATCATGTATCCTTTGTGCTTATTCTTTATGTTCCATATTTCTCATAGAAGTAAAACCACACAATATCTAATTAATTTGGGGGTAAAAATTAATATTTAAAATTACCAAAGAGGTTGAAAAAAGAAAAATAAACAACTGAATGGATCAGCAACTACGATGATCAAACAAAATACTAATGATCAGTTACTATGATGATCACATAATCCATTAAACAAATCAATAAATAAGATGATCAATTGATCAATAAGCTGAGACAATATGGAAATAAATAGTTGAAGTTTTTTTATAAAAAATAACAATGCAGTAGGCCTGGGGAGATAGCTCAGCTGTCTGAGCACTTCACTGGCAAGTGCAAGAACCCAGGTTCTGTCCACAATACCACATGCCATGCCAGCCCCTTGAAGAGACAGCCGTGGAAACTGTGTGTGGAGGCACATGCCTATAATCCCAGTGCTGAGGAGGCTGAAAACAGAAGGATCACTATGAGTCCAAGCTGTGTAGTGAGACCCAGTATCAATCAATCTATCAATCAATCAATCAATAAAAAATAAAAATGAACAACAATATACCAAAGACTGCTTGAGCAAAGAATAAGACGTTGTAAAATTAAATGAGGCAAAGCACATGAAAATGGAAAAAACTTGAGTGAAAGTTGTGGCAACACAGATAAGACAAGTCAGAAGTTATACTAACAGAACACGTGGATGATGATGTTCTTAGAACATTTATTCACTAATAACAAAAGTAACAAGAATAATCACATGATGATCCAAGTTCTAGGTGAATCCTAAGAGGAACATAAGGATCTTTGGCTTTGAGGAAAACTTAGAGGCAGATGCTCATGGTATGAAGTATGAATGTGGTCAAAGTAAGGGAGGGATGGGCATGTAACTAAATGGATACGCAGAAACCCAAAATGTATAAGCAGAAAAGGACCTCTCTGTGACACATCTTCCTATTTTATATTGTATTCAATTTCTTTCATCTTTGTTCCTAATTATCATTGCAAATGTCTAACTCCTTCATTGCAAATGTCTAACTCCTTCATTCACATTCTTTCCTAGAGAGATATAGTTTGATTTTTTGTAGATATTGTGTATAAGACTGCCTTCTTGATTTCCATCTTAGTGAGCTTTCTTGCAGAATAGACATGCTTGTGTACTATGTATGTTTCGTCTCCTGTGATTTGCATACTGCATTTTATCTGAGTGCCTAAAGCTTTGACTTTATGTCACCATGAGCTCACCATAATGCCTTCCACTTGCAAGGACCTTACTCCCAAACTAAGTTTTATTTAATGGATTTTGGTGAGGACAGCAATATTTGGATTTTAGGCAAACAAATTAATGCTTGTCTTAGTTATTCTTCTCTCGTTGCTGGAACAAATACTCAACACTCAAAATGCAGGAAGGAACAGTTTATTTAGCTCACAGTTACTAGAGATTTCAGTTCATACTCTGCTGGCTTCAAGGCAGAGTGGCACATGCCAGAGGGCAAGCGTTCAAGGAGTCTGCAAAGAGTAAGAACACAAGGGAGAGGTAGAAGCAGCTCAAGCTGCTAGCTTTTCTTCCCACTATACATTGAAATGCAAATTACCTGCCCCAGGGCAGGTGCAGCATCCACACCCACAATAATCTATCACAAACTCCAGAAGTTTCCCAATAACTGCAAGAGGTTTTAGGGGGACAACTATACACAAACCATAACAATGTTGTATGCTTTGTCAATGCATTGTGCTTTTAATTTTAATTTTTTAAATTTTTCTTTCTGTGACAATGTAGTCCACATCCAAAGATAAAGAAGGCAAGATGTATGTAGCTCACTGTAGTGGGTTCTGTAAGGTTCAAACTGCGGACAACCTTGCCAGCTCCAGAATTTTATGACAGCTGAAGCACTGCTCTGTGCAATCAGTTCCACTCAACACCCAAGTCTGCCATCAAAAATCATAGGATGGACTGGCCAGATGGGTCAGTGTATTAAAGTGCCTGCTTAGACAGGCACAGAGACTGGGGTTCAATCCTCAGGAAGCCATGCCAGCCCCACCCTCTGGACACGCTGAGAAGACAATTGAGACTGGGCTATGGGGCATGCACCTGTAAACCCAGCCCATGGGTGACTGAAAATAGGAGGATCACTACAGTCCAATCTGTGTAGTGAGACCCTGTAGACGCTTTACTAAATACATACAAAAGAAAGCACAGGATGTTGTGAGAGAGATAAGTTTACTACCTGTGTTCTGAACACATTTATTTTCTTTTAAATTTAATGTTATTTTACTTTGAACAGTAAAAACGGAAGCGAAAACGGCATTTAGAAACAAAAAAACAGAAACAAGGTAACATAAAACAATGCATGTTACAGATTTTCAAGGCAAGAATAGCTGATTAACAATGGTTGATATGCTATCCATTTTTATCGTCAAATACGCTGTTCAGATTAAAAGTTATATTTATGTAAATTGAGCATAGGATTGCATATTACTGCTTGCTTTGAAGAAATCTTAAATTTTTGTTCCTGTCTCTCTTTTTCTTTATTTTTTATCTTTTCACAAATTCATTTTAAAGAGAATATAGTAATAATTGCAACTACAGTAGGAACAGTTCATATGATTCTCTAAAGCCAATCTATTAAATGATTTAAATAAGCGACATAATTTGAAGTGGTTTGCAACAGTTCAAATGAGCACACATTAAGCACACAATTTAAAAGAGTAGGAGTGTTTTTCCTCAATCTGATTAGGGATCAGGTTTTTTTCATTAATTTAGGGCAAGGTCTACAGGGTGTACAGAGTCTCACTACATAGATCGGATTCGTAGTGATCCTACTGTTTTTCAGCCTCCCAAATGCTGGGATTACAGACGTATGCCACCACACCCAGTCTCAGTCGCTGTCACAGCACACCACAGGGACCGGGCCAGCACTGCACGCTGGGGATCAAACCCGGAGCACTGAGCTCTGCCTCAGTCCGCTGAGCTATCTGACCAGCTCCAAAGATCAGTTTGTCTTCAAAGAAAATGTTCCCCTCAGATGCCCTGGTAAACAGCACAGCACCCACACGTCCAGAGTCTAGGGATCAGGAGCTCAATTCCACGCACATGCACTCTCATTGGGACAAGGAAGAGCACACTTAAATGCACAGTGACAGGGAGAAAGAGGGTGCACACACAAATACATGGACACATAGCCACACATAGAGTTATAGTCAAATCCAGGCAGAACACAAAAGAATTCATGCTAGAAGTGTCTTGGTACTAAGCAAGCAAGACTTGATATTTATGATGGTACTAAACACAACCTAATTTGTTTAAATTGCTGTCTAGTAACATAATACTTAAGTATAATCAAGATTTAAATATAATCATCTGTGCCAATACTTTGAAATTTAATATTTTACTCAGTATTCATCAATAATCTGAAAGTATACATTAAGCATACTTACAAAGTATAATACCACATTCGACTGTAAGTAAAATATAAATTTTACAAAAAACGTAGTTCTATGAGATAAAAACATGAATGATTAGACAAAAACGGAAACTGTTTTTAATCTATATTGAATATATATAAATATTGCCTACTGAAATGTTTCATGGTTATGTGTATACTAGTGTATACTAAGAGGAATAATTATTTTTATTAAATTACAGTGATAATAGGTAAAGGAAAACAAATCTAGATCTTGGTAAGTTAAAAAAATTAGCGCCAGGGAGATAGCTCAGTAGAATAAGCGCTTACCTGGCAAGTGCAGGGTCCTCAGTTCAATCCCTGGTACCGCCAGAAAAAAATAATTTAAAATGGACAGGAGATGATTTTTACCAATCAAAATTGGAAATGTAAAGTTAAGTGAAAGGGAGAGATTCTGTATACTACTGCTGAGCAGAGAAAGATGTGAAGAGTCTAGCAGTAACACACCTGTTTCTTGCATTTCCTTTGTACCTGCCCATTTCATGATCCATTTGTCCTAGAGATGTAGCATTTGTGTTCTTTATATCCTTCCTCCTTGCTTCTCACAACATTCTTGTAGTAAATGCAGGATATCTTTGAAAAATATCTGCCTAGAGGTGATGAGTCTCCCCAGGCAGTTAAAGCAGAGATAACTCTTAAAGGATTCTGGTCAGTGTCTGCACCAATGTCTCCAAAGGTCTTTGATCAGAGACTGAATTTTGTAACTGATCAGTGTGTGTGTACCAACGTCATTGGAAGAAACACAGACAACAACGGACACCCACTAAAACACTGGGCACAGGCTTTAAATCCACCAAATTAGAAGCAAGAAGAGACTACACAGGGAATAACCTGAGACATTTTCCTGGAATTAAGACTTTCAAAGTTTAAAAAGCAAGCTCCACAAAATTTTAACTCATGCATATTCAGATTGCCAAATTTGGTAATTAAACATTGTGCATCCAAACAACACCATGATCCACACCTAGCAGTATTTTACAGTCACTGATGAGGCTCCAAGACAGAGAAGATTGAAGGAAAGGGTCATATCCCTGGGGACTATGGTCACAGAAAAAGAGGCAGTACGAAGAAATCTGTTTGTAGTTTCTGGCTGAAAATATTTGAAGAATATACGAGGAAAGGATGGACATGGATTCCTTTAATTCAACCCAAGAACACAAGATTTAAAGAAGTAAAGTAAAGTGTTAAGACCATACCTTCTGCAATATGGGAACATTTAGTGAAGGTTGAGCTCATCAGTGATTCAACACAAGGGAAACCAGGCAGCACAAGCATGTTTCTTCTGAAGTGAGATGACTCTGTTTCTTGCAGACCAGACACAGCTGATTCCAGATGTGTAATGTCCAGAAATCATGAACACAAAGGGACATACAGTTGAGAAGCATGCACTTAGGAAAGCGTCAAGAGTGAACAGTAAGATTCTTGGATGACTGAAAAATGTCACATATATTTGCATGATACAGGACATGAAATAGAAAAATACAAAGAGGCTCACCAGAATAAGGATGCTGCAGGTGGCTCTGGTCTCAGGAGAAGACCTGAAGGAGTTGCTGGTCCTATGCATGTGTTGAACCCGCCGCTTGTGCATGAACAAGATGAAAACCATAGAGCCACAGGACAAAAGCATGAGCCCTATGCAAAAAACATCAGTGATGGTGGAAAGCACTGCATGTCCCGCATATACTCCTCTTGTGGTACGTGGATCTGAACAGTAAGCAAAGTCTATTCTATTTGTGATGTTTCTGGTTCTCCATCTGCTCATGAAGCTCACAGAGAAACTAATATTCAGCACCAGGTGCAGGACCCAGCAGAGGACAGTGAAGGTGCTTATATTTGGGCAATTTCACTTTCAGTTCTGCCCACCTGGAGTTGCTGGGGCTGATGGTGATGGCCTGGAAGACGCTCAGCAGGCAGGTGCTGCCAAAAGCTACACCTCTGCCCACCCTGTTAAGATAGAAAACAAGTTTGCATCCAAAATCACTGAGGAAGTCTTCTGACCCATAAGCTGCCATCGTCTCTGGGATCCCTCTAGAGAGAATGACCAAGAGGTTGGCCATGATCAGATGCATAATAATCAAATCTATGGATTTTGTCTTATATCCAGGGAAGAAAATATATAAATATTTACCTAAGAAAGAGAGATTCCCCAGTGTTCCAATGAAAATCTGAACAAGGAAGATTATGACAATATACACATTCCAGTGTGCCATTTCTGTCTTTCTGTCTTTTTCTGTTCACAATTCAAATTCTTAAACAGAGGTGTCTATGTGGTAACATGAATTGTGGATATTAGTTAATATAGAATTATATCCAAAATTCTCTCTTCAGAGGTGACATTTTCTTAATTATCACATGTAGATCACTGCTAATACTAGCAACCAACTTGCTTCTTATTGGCCTCCACTGGACATAGGCACCACTGTATGTGTTTCTTACAATCCTGGGAAATTTAATCGCAAGATGCTTAGTGATTGACATAAGGACTGATCGTCTAGCTTCAAGTCAAAGAGGTCTGGTAGCTGTATCATTTTTCTGATACATTTTCCCATCTCCTTCATGTTTTAAAATAATACACATACATGCAATTCAGTTCACGGATGCTTCTGTTTACAAAAAAATATGGTTCTGAAACATAAACATTCAGTAATTTTTTTTTTTCTCTTCATTAACGTCTCCTAAGGTGACAAATGTAACCTTGGGAATGTTCCTCAAATAAACAGAGAGAATCATCTCCCCACAAAAAATAAATCAGGATAAGTTCATGAACTAATCACCAATGGATTTATCATTTTACATTAATCTCATTGTGTTTTATGCACATTAATCTCTTGGATATTCCAATATCAAGTGTTATTATATAGAAAGTATTATGTGTAAATAATCTTATGAATTTAGGAAATACAGGTATATTTGATATTTTCTTCAGCTACAGTATCTCTATTGAATGTGAATACCATAAAACATATGCATTTCGTATTTTAAATACTGTCTACTAAAAGCATACAACCTATGATTTATTCTCATTTATGGGTTTTTAAATAGAAAAGAATTAACTTAATGCTTCTAAGTAAGAATATGATTCTCTATTCATTGTTGTAAGGAAAAGTGACCAATCTACATATCATATTATCTGCTAAATATATTAAAAGGCAAACAACTATAGAAAATTAAAGTGAAATTTGTAGCATCAGGTGTATCAAATAATTGAAGTGGCAGAGAAGTGAAAATAACATTTGGAGGGTATTTTTAAATAAAACATGATACTTCATGGCATCCATAATAAACACAGCAAATATAAGTTTTGTATAATCCTTCACTCTTAACATAAGTAGCTACTTTGGAAGCAACTTTTTTAATCAAGGGAAAAGAAACTCGATTATATGGACAGACTCCTAATACTGTCATACAGAGAAGTAATTTCTCATTCAACATAGACAACACAATCACACTGGAGAGAAAATTTCATTTTAGTAACAAGCAGGCAGGTTTTTCAAGCAATCAGAAAATTCTGTTAATTCCATCTTATTCATCAACAGAGAATTTAGAGAACAATACATGAAGGTTTAGAAAATAATCCAAACTTTAGAAAAAAATTCATTAAAATTTCTGCATAACCACTTTCTGATACCTCTGAGGCAAACTGATTTTCAAATTAACACCTCACTCATGATATTCAGCCTTCATTCTTGCTTGCATCCAGCTGCAGCAAACATAAGCACTGAGGTTTACGTAGGAACACATCAGCCGTCACTGCAATTCTGCACAGGGTCCTGGCACTATCGTAGTTGTCCACAGTTTGCCCAGGAATGAAGAATTGCTTTTCTAGTCTCTGTGGCTTGGGTGAAGTTCAGCCTCTAACCCGGTACAATCTAACTTCACACAAGAGCAATTTCCACGAACCTGTTGTTCCTGCTAGTGTGGCATACTCTGCTGCTCTGACTGAGAAAATTCACCTGGCCCTCCCCTCAGCCAGCATGATCACTTCAGTGTGACAGACACGTGGCCTGTGCATGAGAGAGGAAGGAGGCCAGACAGAGATATAAACACAGATGACAAGTCATCTGGGACAATTATGTGACAATGACACTTATATCTCCCCAGGACATAAATGATAAATTCTGTACCTCTGCAGCTGTGTATCTGCAAACTTTTTCTGAGTTTCAAATTCCCAGATACATTAACAGTTCTTATTTGTGGTGTATGTCTCAAAGGAGCAGAGAAGCCCCTGTTTGCAATGCCTGATCTCCACTTTCCTTGGATAGACACTGACATGCTAAGGCAGGCGAAGTGGAGTTTGAGCCTGTGGGACAGGCAGGAATGCACGTGGGCACCATTTGAACCTAAGCTTCTGTGGGTATCTGCTGGCTCAACAGTCCCTATTTTGTGCTCTTCAGTCTCCTATACTACCCCAGCAGTGATGTCATGATTAGAGTCGTAGAAAGACCCTATGGTAGGCCCAGGGAAGGGCAAAATGGAGAACATCACATCACAACTGCTATCAAAATCCATTAGAAACTACTTGGTTAACTATACACAATCAATTAAAGGTATAGTTTTTGTTTTGTATTTAAGACAGGGTGTACAGGGTATATAGGTCTCACTATGTAGATTGAACTCATAGTGATCCTCCTAAATTTTTTTTAATTTGAGCCTTTTATAGGTAAACGGATGCAACTTGAGACTATACTTATAAATAAAATAAATAATACTTGCTTGTGTAAACATCGTATTGTCTCCATAGTTTGAGAACCTGAAACATTAAATAAGTTATAAAATTTACAATAGAAATTGGAAAATGTGAAGACACTAATAACAAGGAAAGAGAAATTGGTACAGGGAAAGGAGAAACAAAGAAAGAGAAGAGGAAAAAATTATGATAGTTAAGATAGCTATACTGCTAATTTCTATTAGTTCTTTGGCTTGTATTTATATAGTTTGAACAATTTTTCAAGTGTATAGTTTGTAATCTGAACAAGTACTTTGAAGATAACAATAAGCAAGTAACTAAGCATTACTGTCCTAGTAAGTTGAGCCAAAATTTTGAAAAATTTACTCATTTAATTTTTTCTAAATCAACTTGATTGAGAAACAAATAGCAAAGAAACAGTGTCAAAACCAATCAATAGGACAGTTTCAATAATTAATACATTGCATATTGATGTCTTCATAGTGGTTATCTTTTTTAAATGATATGTGGTTTTATATTTTGTTCATAGAACAATCTTCTAATAAGATACATATTTCCATGGAAGTGTTTTTCACAAGCAGAGAAGGTGCATATGGCTCTCTGTAAATTAAAATGTCTTCCTTGGTTTGTAAATTAATCTGTCTTCTTTGGTTTATGTGAGCACTGTGATATTATGATTCATTCTAAAACACTAATTAGGTCGAATTTCTTGAGCTCGAAATATCTAGACTTTAGATAGGACCAAATTCACCTTTGGCTCTATTGATGAAGACAACTATGGCATGAACACTCTTTTGCAAAGCCAACAGCAGACATCTCTTTCAGATAGTCTGAGTTGTGTTCCCTAAGGCAATTCTGTAGGATGCTTATCATCATGTTTGTTCCAGCTTTTAGAAAAATAATTTATAAAAATAAAAAAAAAATTCCAAGGCCAAAATACCTGGGAGACACAACATGCTTTATTCTAATTTGAAAAATCATAGATTTTTGTAAGTTTTTTTATATCTAAAATTTAACATTTTCATCCAATAATCACTGAACTTTTTTTGCTACTTTTTATTTTTTTTATTTTTCAACAAATAATACGCTGCATATATTCTTCTTAGGGGTTAATTGCTGTACAAGATGCGGACCTGTGATCCTATTTACAAACACCATTAGAACAAATCATTCTATTCATTAACAGAATGTAACTATATATCTATCCCAACCACTTTGAATACACAGA